GGTTAACATGTTTTATTGTTTTTCAGTCTGATTATTGGGATGGATGATAATGTGGAACTCTTATACATTATGCATTTTAAAAGACATTTAAAAAATCACCCATTTCTGATATTTTCCGATATGGAGAATCAGTTTTAGTCAGTTTTTTAAAGTTTATCTTACACTTCTTATTTTAAGCAACTCTAGCAGTGTTGCAATGCCGGTCTGTCATAAGTTGGTCCTAAATTTGTTCCAGACATAAATAGTTTTGGATAGATGTCCATAAGACTTATCTTAGACATTCATCGTCCCCAGAGGTTGAATCCTTACACCTTTATTGATCCTTGTATTATATTTATTGTTACTGTCGTGGTCCTCAGAGGATTAAACAAATTGACTTTGGTGATCCCTTTTGGTTCCTCTCCTGACCGTATGAGCTTCATATTTGTGGTTTGAATGAAATCTCTCATGGTGAACCGCCATGATGCCCCACACATTCATGTTCCCCTCATTGTAGTCCTTTGTCTAGCTCAGGAGTTACCGTATTTTATTCTCAAAACGATGACTGCTGTTCACCACTCATGATGACTTTGTTCAATGTCATTCACTTTCCATTTCCTGGCCTCTCTGTTCAATCCTGCTTTAAATCATTAGATCTTTTTAGCCCTTGTCAAGCAAAGACCGAGCTCTGAGTCAACAGGCAAAAGTAATGAGAGCTTTTAACATATTACATTGCCGGTACTCATGTTACACTTATCAGTAATATTTTAAACGAGGGTAGATTTGGCATAATGGAAAGAAGCCTCATAAAAGTGAACCAGTCCCTTGTGATTGTAATCTAGGAGAGAGTTCCTGTAAAATTAAACCATGGTTGTGGGGGAGAGACAACGTGCCTCTGGTTTCTTTGAAGTGGGGCATCAGCGTCTAAAAACGGAATAAAAGATGACAAAACGTCAGAGTGAAGCTGATGGTCTATAGACAGAACTTACGTGCCCAGACAGCAATTACTGAGATACATAGCACACATCAAGACATTGTGTTTGATCTCAGTGCTTCATTCTCTTGCTCAGACATTGTGAAACTGTGCACTTATTTTTGTGCGTGTTCATCTCTGACGTTGTTTCATTTGAATTAAAAAAAAGGTGTGCAGTAAGCAATCTGTAAGCCGATTGTTTGGCAGTGTGGCGCTAATCACAGACTTGTGGTTTCCTCAAATCTGATAATGACCATTTAAAATGGGGAACAGCGACTCCTTCATATCTGCTCGCGCATTGGCCTGTGAAAGCGACTGGTAGCCATTTTCTGTCGGTGGTGTCGTATAAATACATATCCTGAAGCCAGCCATGTCATGCTTCTGAAGCCAAACCACCATACGCTCTTGATGTTTCATCACAATCACCGCTTCAAACATAAGAATCCCTGTGATCTAATTACATCCAGCCACAGTTGGTACATGTGCAACTAATTTTAGAAATGATTTACTGCATTTTTGATTTCATGAACTGAGGCACTGTAAAGCTACATTGTGGCACTGTTATCTAAGATGTTTTCCCACAGCCTATGAGCAACAGTACGCCAGAGGTTAATCACTTTATTAGTTTAATGTTGAATGCACAATGCTTACATCTGTGAAACGCACAAGGGTGCATAGCAGGAGCCTCCAACTTGATGAACACATGGTGTTCTTTCTCCCAGGCCCTTTGTGACCACAGCCTTTGTCCGCTGTAACTGAACCAAGTGGCTGGACTTTAACCAGCCATCTGAGGCCAATCCCCTGCCTGCCCCCGGATGGTACTTCACTTTCTGTCCTTCGTGTCATCAGTGTGTCCATAAACAGCTATGCCAAGCCCATTGTAACTTGAAGAAAATATGCTTAAAAATGAGCATCTAACTGCGGTTTGGGGGAGAGTGCTGTTGAGTTGCCACTCTGAATCTAAGGCAACTGTACAGAATATCCCATTTCCCATGACTTCATGTTTGAATGGCCGGTCCAAGCCAGCCAGCGGACCATCAGTCTCTCTGTTACCGAGGGACGGATTAGCATCTCAGCTATGAGCTAAGTCTGTTTTCTGCTCTGTGGTTGCTTGGGCTGCACTGGCAGGGAAATACTTTGCAATGTGACTCTATTGTACACCCATTGACCTCCCAGCCAGTGGGTTAATGCTCATTAGACAAGCTAGAGGATGCTAGGAGTTGCACCATCAAGAGGTTTTCTCAGGAATGTCCAGCATGAGATCGGGATTCGCCCTATATGACAGATCGAGGCGATGAAGGATGAGTGCTGTTGCTTCTCGGGTAAATGTTACTTTCAGGCCTGCAGTGTGAATCCTAAGAAAGTGTCCTACTTTAAAAATCTGTGTGATCTCTTTTAAATACACACTATGGAAACGACTAGGAGGTGGACACTTAAAGAAAGTCGCTCAGCTCTGCAGGATCTGGCAGAGCTGTTTTTTGTGACCCTGGGTGGGCAAGCTAAGGAAAAAAAATCTTGCTGAAATGATCACAAAATTATAAACGTGGTAGTCATGATTTATGTCAGCAGTGTCAGTGGTGGAAGCTTGTTGGGTTCAGACTCTCCGGGTGGGCCGGGGAGAGCTAAAGCTCAAATTGAAGGCTGAATGACCCAAAGTGCTTTTTATATTAGCAGCTGACCTCCCTTCAGGCCAGTGGGGTGGGAGGTGGTCCAACAGGAAGAGCAGCCTGTGGGCTCCGAGGCGGTGCATGCTGCTCATAAAGGAGCGTTTTGTTTTTCCTCCCCTCACGGTAACAGCACCCTACTGGGGAATTCATTAGGGGCTGACATCATCTCACTCAGTACAGAGTGAAAGAAAGAATATCTTTCTGCCTGCGCATTCCCCTCCCTCCCTGCTTTCTCTCATTCCCTCTCTCTCTGCCTCCTTATCTAGCTCTGGTGCGCTGCTGTCTCTCCTTTTGCGCGCCATTTACGCAAAAAAGGTACACGCGCTGTTGTGCGCCTCTGAAATGTGAAATCTAGCTCCAAGCTTCCAAGAAGCCCAAAAACACGCGTGTGGTTGTCTGCTGAAGGAGCACGACTGAGGTTGAATTCAAGTCCGCCTGGAAATCAGGAAGTGGGAGGACCCGACCGTGAAGGCAGCAGCTCTCAGGCAGTCAGTCGCTGGATGAATGGGAGTTTGTCTGGTGCTTGGTAGCGGATGGGAGAGGCTCTCGAGTGCCCACGACCGGGATCCGTCAGAGAGAGCAGGGCAGTCAGGCTGTGCAGCTGAACACACAGCGACAGCGGGCTCTTACCTGGTGAAGTTTCGCTCACTGCTTCTGTGATTTGGCTCCGTCTCCACAGAGGAAACTGGCCGTGCGCTTTGTTGGATTGGTTTGCTCCGTCGGACGCAGCCCCTCTTCCCTCTGCGCACCGACACACCAACCCACCCGGATCCTGTTGGTTACCTCTCCTGGATATGTACCACAGGAGAATATAGGCGAAAAAATTCAAATTGTGACCCGGGGAAGCTGAGAAAGGTGGATCAAAGGATTTTTCTCTCTCGTCGCCTCAGTGCTGTTGCAGAGGCTCTCCGTGGCGAGACACATGGTTCCCTTTGTCCAAAAGGCGCAGTAGCTTTGTGAACGGCTTTGGATTTTTTTTTTCTTGGAAAGGCTTCTTCTATCTTCGCATGGCTGTTCTCAATTTAAACGGAGTAGACTTCGCCGCCCTCTGTGTGGATTATATTATTTGAAAAGCAGAATGTGAAGCGAGGCCATATTTAGCAGACCGAGAAAGTAATATCCTGACTTATTTGCCTTCTTGCTAACCTTGCCACATCAAAGGTATGCGCGCTGGCTCTGAGCCGTTTATAATCTTCGATTTCATTGTGTGTGTGCAAAATGTCTACGTGGAATTGTTTTAATAGTAAGCGTTTTCATGGTCCCTCTTTTGCTGTCATTTATTCTGCAGCCTTCATTGTTTACATTCTGTCAGTGTTGCATTAGTGGAAAACACCTGATTCCTGGCAAGGTTTGTATCGAACCAAAAAACAACATTAATTTAGTCGGCTTTTCTGACTTAATTATTTTTGTTTGTTTAAATACGTTGCTTCTCCTGCAGCCTTAATAAATGACATATAAGATAAAAGACACGAGTCGCATAGAAGCTGTCACAGCACGCTGATTTTAAATATTCCTGACATTAAGGTCATTATATCACAAGGAAATACAACCGTAACGCCAAAGTGTAATGCTTTAAAATAATTTTCTCTTGTTTTACATATTGCATTATATAAATCTGAGATGAGGATATCCACAAATCCAGTTACCAGAAAATAATTGTATTCAGAGAAAGCTGTCTGTCAGTCTTCTTCACATGTGCAGCTGAGCGGGTGTTGTCTTGTTTATTTTCCCTGTTGTTGCAACATTTTTGTTACTTTGCAATATATTTTTGTGAAATATAATATATATACGACTTAGTATTTTCACCCATATTACACTTGTATTTTATTGAGGTATAAATCCCAACTCGCACATTGTATCCTCTCTCCCTGTTGCTCTTGTTGCTGCAGGAGGGCTGGGCTGTGTAGTCACGGAGCAACAGTGCCATCAAGTGGCCTTACCATGAACAGCCACTTGTTTTGTTTCAGTCTGATATCCAATATTGGTTTTGATCATGATGCTCAGGTTACCCCAAATTATTCAGGAGAGAATTTTCGTCAAGACGGGATGTGGACACTGGAGATGTCTTCGCTTTTAGGCTCTTGAATTTGACATGTTGTTGAAATTGAGAGCCTATCAAGTACAAATTATAAGACTTATATTAAAAGCCTCTAATAAACCTTACTGAAGCCAATTAAGGATTTAGGTTGACTTTATCCAAAATGACAGTTTAATAACTGAAGTTTAATCGTAATTTGCCTTAAGCATATAATAACCCCCCAGTCAGCAGTCATTTCTCTGCACTGAACCCAGTAACAATATCCAGGAGCGGGTTTGGACATTTTGCTGTAAAATTATATGGTACTGTGATATTTCTCTAATTGCATTCTCCTCTTCTCAAGGTCTCCGATGCCAACTCAGAGAAATTCTTCAGCACAGCTGCAGTTAAAGGTACAGACATTTCATTCTTATTACCTTGCTGTAATGTTGTCAATATGATGGTGCAGGTATATTACCAATCTCCCTGTTGTCATTGCCATCTTGAAATTGGAATGCGTTCTCCCAGTGCGGCAATTGTAATATTTATGTATGGTTGTTTGAGATAATGCCACAGCAATAACGCATCACATCCATAAAGCTGATCCAATTTACCCTTGGTGCACAGGTATGAAATACAGAAAAACCGAGACATGAGATTAAATTCTCTCTCTGCCAGAATGGAATCATTAAAATGTGCAAACCAAAAATGTATTGCTGTTGTTGTTACATATATGTAACATGTTGCCCTGTGTGGTGTTGGTGACAATTTGTTGCAAAAGTGCAGTAGGGCTTGTCCAGCAGCCAGAGGAGGATGAGGAGGATGTACTAATGCTGCAGGGAGGGCAGGAGGGGCATCTGTTTACGGCCTCAGTGTGCCTACACCACATGTGACCTCATTATCAAGTCACTAATTTGCTGTTAAAAGCCACCCCATTTTCTCCGGCTCGGGGATAATGGAGGTGCCCTGCGTGAATGGACATTTCTCTGTAATGGGAGGGAGTTACCATGCAGTGCAGGAGGGAGGCTCTGCGATGAGGGTTATGACCCCTTCAGGGCTGTGGCAGGAGGGGGACCATTGCTGATGTAGCCCTGCACTTTGCGCAGCGCAGACCTCCAAACACATTTCCCACATTCTGGCCTTTGATTCCCTCCAGGGCTTGATTTGTGGCGTCCATTGGGGGGGCTCAATGGCCATGCTTGACAGAGAGATTTCCTTTTGAACGTGCTTCTCTGTGGACTGATTTGGTTCCCTTGAAAGGATTAAGGCCCCCTTTGTGCAGCCTAAATCAACAGAGGGCCCCCCTCTCTCCCCCTCTATGAAAGGACCTGACTGGGGAAACAGTACACAAAATACGCTTTCTCTCTGCTGCATGATAGTCCACTCTCTTGGCCCCTATCCCCATTTAAATATCCTCTCCTTTCTTCTCTTTTACCATCTCCGTCCCCTCCTCCTCTCCTGCCATATGCTAATGCTTGCCGCCGTTGCAAAAGGCCAGTAAAATAATCCAGGTGCAGGGAGAGCCAGAACCACTGGTATTTTTATGGGGGACAGTGTTGAGATAAAAATAGTTGGGCGGGTATTTATTAGAGGGATTGCTATTACTCTAATGCAACCAAACCCCAGAGCAAGCAACAGCTCCAACACTTTTGGCGAGAGGCTTGTTTGTGGGACGCTGTGTCAATATTTGCCAAAAGGCAGGTGCAAAAAGACAAAAAAGACTATAACCTTGATGCAGCAGAGCTACATGGAAATATGAGTAATTTGTTTGCATATTAAAAAATATATAGCCATTGGTGTACAAATGCAACTTTACTCACAATGCAAAGAACTTTATTGACACTGAAAATAGCTTGATATTTATGTGACATAATGATTATTGTTCCTGATGAGCCAAAAGCTTATTTCCCATTGTGACTGATATGGGCAAAAGTAAGACACATTATTATATCCTAAACCAACAGAGCTTTGAGAAGGCCATTATAATTCAGCAGCTGATGTGTAGCTTTGGTAATGATTGACTGTTGGCTTTTATTCTCTGCAGCAAGACTGGAAATCAGCCCAGGGCAACCTCAGGTCTCTTTGAAGACTTAGTGCAGGTCCCTCATCTTTTAATCTCACAGCCTTCTCACCTACTCAATAATTACAGTGTATCTTTCATGCTACCTCAAAAGCAATGTGCCTTTTTTTTTCTTTCTGCCCGAGGCCTACGCTGCATTTTAAAAAGAAAATCCAACTGATGAGAATGTGGCTTTTGTGTTTTTTCAGACGTTGATTTGTTTTCTCCGCCTCTTGTGTAAGCCTCCCCACGGGGCCGTCGCTGTCAGCTGTGCATAGTTGTCTAATGTGGAGCTTAGAGTCGCCATCACTCTCTGTTTGCCCCTCTGTTTTTCTCCCTGTTCACTCTGGGTTCAGTTTACCCAGGAATGGATTTCATTAACTAAGAGTCATTAAATGTTAGCCCTAATTACCATGCTTGTCAATGTGCCTGCAGGTGTCAGCCAGCTAACCTGATTCATTGGCACTGCAGGAGAGTAAGCACCAGTTAAAACGATGTTGTGTAGTCTATTTGCCAGCAGTGGAATAAACAACTTTTCTGAAGCTGCTTCCAAGGCGCCGTGGGTGGAAATCGGTATCCAAGCCTTTACGAAGACTGTCCAGGGAGGGGGTTGAAGTGCTGGGCTGCACAGATACTGATGATGACAAACCAGCACAGCGTGTCACCCCAAAGGCCTGCAGACAGATCTATCAAATGATTAAAGCTGTGTCCCCAGGCAGTAATATCTTGTCACCCGCTTACATTCCCATCCTTTATGATATTGTCAATCCACAAGTCCTCCCAGAGACTCCGCCAAGTCAAGACTAAGCTCACTGTTCATTGTTTGGTGAGCGTAGCCCCAGCAGCCAGATTAAGATAATGCTGCATGACATTTAAAAAGCTCCTCAGTGCCGTTTATCAAGAGTAGGTTTGAAAATGTTCTCATCAGTGAACTGTTGAGTGGGGTCTCTATTTAGAATAGAAAAGATGCTTTGGACAGAAAATAACTAGATAATGAAATAATGCTAAAATCCCAAAGCTTTTTGATTGTCTTTTACCTGCGTACACATTATCAAAGTCGCACCTTAACTTAATGAGAAATAACTTCCTTCGTTGTTTTTCATATAAAGGTGGAGACTGACTTGAGATTTGTATTTGTTAGATGAAGAAGCTAGTCCCTTGTGAGACATATCCTGCAGCTGTGTCTAAGATGTGTGACTGGGTGCCGTGCGGGGGTAAATGATGTGCACAGCGTAGTGATTCTCCCACCCGCCTCCGAACATCGCTGATTTCACAATGCTTTAATGGAGTTAATGTGAAAATGAAGCGCTGCTACAGCGAGACCCGGGGCTGACGCCAGCGTGAAGAGCGCCGCTGGTGAAGTGTGTCGGGCTTGAGTGCGTCTGTCACCAGGGGAGAGAATAATGTGCGATGTGGAAGGTGTAATTTGCAGTGCTGATGGCATTGTTTAAAAAAATAGTGGAAAGAGGAAAGCGGAGGTGAACTTTTGTGGCAGATATCAGAGCTGAAGAGCTCCCTGGATTGTCATAGAGAGCTCTGCTGGCAGTGAAATTGCCTGTGAGCGTATTACTGCTGTGTGGGAGGAAGCTGAGGGCTTGTTTTTCTCTCTCTCTGTTTCCTGAGAGCTGGACTGGTGATGGAGTTGTGTACTTCAGGCTGTGGGCCGCCACCTGCCGTAATCTCAAGTGATATAGAGAGCAACAATCACGCCACAAATCACCCAGGCAGCTCCCTAACTCATTCAGTGGACTGGAAAGAGAAGGTTGGCCTTTCACTGCAGCAGTGTTGGTTTACTGCCCCAGGCTCCCTGCGCTGGCCTCCTGCTGACCTCTGCCGTCTGTGTGGGTTTGTGTGTCGAGGAATCAGGGCCGCCTGTGGAACTTGACCTGATGCACAGTGGAAAGATGACCTGACCACCATTGGCCTTGCATACGTTCGGATGTAGTGCTGCAGTCAAGATCAGTGTCTTCTTCCTCACCAGGAGCAGGGAGGTCACAGAGAGGTCGCGGCCCCCTTTCCCTTCAGACATAACTGCTGGAATAAAGCATTGTTGTTTCAGCTTACATAAGCTTTATTCAAATCAAAATGCTCTTTTGATATTTAATAACCGTGCATGTTTTGAGAAATAAGACAGGGATCTGGAGGATACTTCACTGAAGCAGTCTCCAGGCGTTTCCCCAGAGCTCTTTGCTTTGTTGGTTACCTGTCCCCCGCTAGGAGCATCTAATGTATCTCTAAGGAGTAAAGGAAGCTCAATATCCTGTGCTGCACAGAGGGGAGGCCTGCCCCTTTCTTCCTCTCCATGGCTGTAACTATAGAGAGAAAGGCTGTAATTCATGGCCATGAAAGGGGGCCTCTCCAGCCGTGCCTCATCTGCTGACACAGCCAAACAAAGGTTAACAAATCAAGGATAGCACTGGCTGATTTACTGCCTCGCTGTCGCAAACAATGGTGAAGCCCCCTTGTCTACAGCTCACATGTACTGTATCTGTCTGCAGGAAGAGAAACATGGCAACAGGTCCAGCTGTACATACTAAGCACAATCAGAGCAATATGTATCCTGACTGTCTTCTTTTGCCTATTGGTCACCTGTTACAGTCACAACATATGCACTATGGTCTAGTTCTAGAACTATCTGGCAGATAATCAGTCTAGTAAATACTGAATGTGTGACCAAGGGTCTTGCTGGTGCCCACTTGGTATAAGTGTGTTGATTGAGGATCAGTTTTAAGGAAATGTTGTGGATGGTCTGTTGGAGCACTGTGGGCCAGTCTCCTGCCATCCACTCCGGCAACACAAAGAGGTCATTCAGAGTTTGTTCCCCATGTCCCGAGGTTAGAGACTAAGTAAATCCATCCATCTTAATGCACTTATTTCAGCACCAGGAGAGCTGGAGGGAGACTGTGTAAACACTCCTATATCCGACATGCCACACTAAACCCAAAGAGCCTGGAACCCATCAGGACAAAATTAAAGGTCTACATCTCAAACACAAACATTTAAATGGGCTGCACTCCAGAGATCAAAGTGAAAGACCTTCGTTTTCCTGCTGGCCCCCATGCGTCTGCCACACTGAGATATGTGGCGGTTTAGCAGCCAGTCAGGGTTGAATGCTGAGCAACTGTATAATGTACAGGTCTGTTTCTTTCAGGTCTCTGAGGTACTGCTCTGTGGCAAATGTTCTGTTGGTCTAAGTAAAGTAGAAGGATTCATGTAAGCATGTTTATTCAGAGATCCGGCTATGTTACCAGGATAATATTTAGAATTATAATGACAGAGACAAAGATTGTTTTGCCTTTGCTGATTTAAAATTGACTCATTTTGGTCCCCCCCCCCCCGGAAAGGGCCTATAAT